TCCACTGCTAAAAGTGAAAAGGTGACGTGGGTCGAATATGCTCTTCCTTGGATGCAACCTATCATAACATTCCTCAAAGATCAAGGGTTGCCCCTTTGACAAAGAGGACACGCAAAAGCTCAAAAACGAGTTGCACATTTTGTTTTTCAGGATGATGTTCTATACAAGTAAGGTTTATCCCTACCTTTACTTTGATGCATAGGTAGCGAGTAGGCTACCTACGTGCTCCAAAAAATTCATAAAGGGGTTTGTGGCAATCATATAGAAGTATGGGTCTATCATAGAAAGTGTTAAGGTATGGATACTATTAACCTATATAAAGGATACACAACAGTTTGTTAGAAGGTATGACAAATGTCAGCACTTCTCGACAATACAAAGACAACCCTTTCAGCAACTAATTGTTGTTTGTAGCCCTTGGCCTTTTGCCAAATGAGAGATTGATCGTAGATGACCCCTACCTAAAGGAAGGGACATTGCCAATTTTGCTATCGTCACCATTGACTATTTTACTAAGTGGGTTGAAGTTGAACCTCTGGCCAAAATTACAGAAGAAAATACTTCTAAACTCTTAATTTCTTATTGAAAAACATTATCTGTAGGTTTGGAATCCCCCACTCAATTGTATGTGACATGGGCGACAGTTTGATAACAAAAAAGTCAGGGACTTGTGTGATGAGCTAAGGATCAAGAAGCACTTCTCCACCCTCAAAAGAAAGCTGGATGCTTCCAAAAGGGCTTGGGTGGATGAGTTATCTCATGTCTTATGGGCTATCCGAAACACTAGTAGGACGGCTACGGGAGAAACTGTTTTTCTTTGGCTTACAGAGCAGAAGCTATGAGCCCTATTAAAATAGGTCTACCATTTTCTCGTCACTTACAGTTCAATGAAATGTCTAATGACGAGTTGATGGGGTGCAAATTTTATTTCCTAGATGAGAGAAGGAATGAATCCTAAGTGAAGTTAGCTACCTACCCACGAAAGATGACCATGTACTACAATTTTAGGCTCATTTCGTGTGAATGCCCTTATACTGCGAAGAGTGTTTCTATCCTCTAAAGAGTCAATATTGGGACTCTTGATCCCAACTAGGAGGGTCCCTACCGCATCAGAGAAGAGGTTCAACCTGGAACTTATATTATTAAAAGTTTTGATGGAAAGGTACAGCCCCATCCTTAGAATACAGAATACCTAAGGATGTACTATTTATAGAAGTGTAAATGCTTAGTTCGTGTACAATTCATTTGATTCAATAAAATTAGCATTGTTAAAGTCCTTGAAAGAAAAGAAATATACCACCCAGCGACAAAGGTCCTGGGAGTAGCCTATACCTGATGAGCCATCCATCCATTAGGCAGGAAAGCGTGGGCATTTCAATGAAGAGTTGGATCCCAAAAGAAATCAACTCCTAACTAGCCGAAGTGGATAGTACATGCCCCCCAATAACAATTTTCATGAAGGAAGCCTCGACATTGATGAACAATTCAACCCACGCTATGGAAAGATAAAGTAGAAATGACAAAAAACGTATGAACTTTTAACAATTGTACAAATTTTTAAAGGGAATAAATCTTAGAAAAGACTAAAGCACATCACTAAGAAATAACCTATGTAAAATCCAACAAACATTCAAAAAATTTACACAATGTATAAAATGAAATTTCATTCATTTATTGAATATTGCTACATTGGGGGCCGAAGCCATTTACATTGGAGAAATAAAAAAGAAATTATAAAAAAATAAGCTTAGTAGGTGGGAGAGGGGGATTGGTGCAAAAAGAGGACAATGGCTTGGGGGCCAACCGCTTCAAAAGTCGCATTGTCATCCACAATCTCATCATCTTCTAGTTCAATTACGTGGCTACCATCCACTAGGGTTTGAGGCTCGCATTCCTCTAAAAACTCTGACCTCAACTCCGTGGTGTTGAAATCTTGGGAGTGCACCTCAATTCATTCCACAACTTTAATGTATGCATACCTTCGCCAATACTTAGCAAAGCATTGATACTCTTCTTTTAGATGGAAATCGGAATTGTACTGCTTCACAGCATCATTCCCAGTAGATTGGGCTTCCCCCCTCGCTGTCTCTACCTCTTCCATCAAGCCAAAGACTTTGGGGGCAAGCTCCCACACCTGCTACTTTAAGACAACATTCTCCCTATTGGACATTTTCAATGTCTCAACAGTTATTTTCTGATGGGCATTGAGGTTTCCACTTGCTGGGTAAGAGAAGTCACCTCACTTTGAGATAAATGGACTTTTTTCTTTAAATTTTCAATTTCATCTAAAGCAAAAGCGAGTTTCGTGGTCTTCTCAACTTGTTGCTTTCTAGCGACCTTAGCTTTAGACTTAACTTTCTTGGCCTCTTCCTCTGCCTGGGATGCCTTATTGGAAAATTCCTTATTCTTTTTCTGAAGGTTTTTAAAGAGGACTTCAGCCTCTATGGCAACCCTAAATGCTCTTCGTAATTGGCTTACCATGATGGCAAACATGTCAATTGAGTCACTCTGCCACCTATCTATCCAGTACTTGTGAGATGTGGTAGTTGCATTTTGAATTTCTGGAGGAAGCATGGACAAAGCCTCGGGGCCAGTTCGTCGCTCCTTTTAGACATGGAGAGCTTGGTGCGAGGTGGCATTGAAGTCAGTTGTTACGTTGCTTGAGGTCATCTCATTTTTCGACGGTTCTTGCCTCAAAGGCTCTATGACAGTTGGCCTCTTCTGCCCCCTCGTCGCAACAATGGAGGCTATCATCAACTTTTCCCCTACTGGGACTTTGGATTGAGATGGGGCGCTGACCATTAAACCCCCCCATCTCTGGTATAGGAGAACGCATATTTCTTCTTGGGGACCTCTTCCACTTTGTTTTTCCCCTTGTTTGGCAGGAGTTCGCCCTTCTCTTTCCCGTTGAACAGCCTCCTTGCTGATCTTTTCCACTTAGTCCCTTACCTATTTTGCTGCTACAGATGAGGGCTTAAATCCCTTCCTCCAAGCAGTGGAGGTGGCAGTAATGATGGAGGTCATGTAAGGGATAGGGTGCCTCACCTTCTCGAAATTTTTTACAAAGGAAATAGATGGTAAGTACAAACTACCCAACAACAGTATAGGAAAATTAATACTAAAGAAGTTACCTTTCCGGGCCATTAAGCATAACTCCTCAAAAATTCGCTTTGAATTAATCAAATGGTCAAACTCTCATGAAGATAGAGGACAAAGGTAGATGTCCTCTATGACACCCAAATCTGCTTGGGTTAGTTCGAAGTGATCAACCGATCTTGTAACAATGAAAAAATGTTAGAGTTGATTTAAAGTCAAGAAACATGAAACTAAATAAACAAACATTTACTATCTTCAAAATAACTGGTTGACATTGTCATATAGGGGACTTTGTCACCCTCACACGTTTGTCATTGTCCCTTACCCAGAACCAAGTTTATTTCTATCCTTTGATGGAAGATGGAAGGCCTATAACAAATGGAGTAAGCTCCCCATGGACACAAGGAATACTAGCACTTGGGATCCTCTTTACCTAGGACCCTAGGTTGGAAGATAGATTTGAAGAATGGAGTGACATATCCTCACCAGGTCTCCTTCCACAAAAAAATAAGTCACCACTAGTTGGGCACATGCATTGGGGACGAATTAGGTAGGTGCCAGCCCATACGACTTAAGTACAGCTCTAAAGAAAGGATGAAGGGACAGACGAAATCTCCCTTTAGAAGGAACTCACAAACAACGACACACTATTATTTAGGAAAGCAAGCTTGCTTATCAGGAGATGGGGCTAGGAGTTCGATATTATAGGAAATACAATATTTCTCCTTTATATCTACAAGGTCATCTGCGGTTACATCGGAAGAAATTTTGGTTGCCCCCTAATGCATCATAATTTACCCGACCCTCTCTAGTGGACAAAACACTCTGACCAGCCCTAATAACTTGGACGAAGTCAGTCGTATTGGTTATTGTAACCTCCATCTTAGAAGCTACAATGCTAATGTCTAAGTCTTCAAGTCAGAAAGTGAATAAGCCATGAAATTCAAAAATTAAAGTTGAAAATACTTAGGAGGTTGAACAATAAAATCATTGAAGAAAGCTGGTCGAAGTTCGTGAAAGTGACCAGAGAAATTTTGATAAAGCGGAAGAACAAGAGAGATTTTGGGAGTTTAATTGTTTGTGTTTGCAAACGCAAAATGATTGTCACCTAAAACTATTGCCTTTTATAGGTGGAGGTCATCAACCTTAGCCATTGGATTACGATCCTAACCATCCAATTGTTCATTTAAGATTTAATCTGAGCTATCCATCACATTTGCCACTTCGTCATCTATGGTCAGGGTGTCGGCATCACGTGCGCTACTGCGTCTGTCTCCCATGCAACACGCATGCAGCAGTTATCATTGCTCATTAAATGCGACGACGATTACGTTTATGGAAAGTTGAACTGCTTCAACTGTCTTTTTTTGAAAACGTACAAGACAACAAATCATTTGGCTTAATAATTAAGGACGCTTCGTGTTCCTAATGTTTCAAAAAACTTCAGAATTAATGCATTATAGCCTCAACAAATAACAAAGGTACACTACCTCAGTCTCGACATGAATAACTTCGGTAAGGCTTTAGATACACAGTCACTTCTGAGTAGACGCCTCAGATGAAAGGAGCTCAGCTAGTGTTCCCCAACCTTTTTCCAAACAATCATAAACTTCTAATTACACAG